CAATGGCAGAATACATACTCATTTCAAATACACGTGGAATTTTCACCAAGACAGATCATAGGCTAGTACATAAAATGTCTCAAAAACTTTTTAAAAACTAAAACTATAGAGTATAATAATAATTAAATTCAAAGTCAATAACAAAAAACGAGTAAATCCACAAATATCTGGAAGTTTAAAAATTCACCTATATCCATGAGTAAGAAAAAGAAAAGTAAAAAATATTTTTAATAGGACAGCAATGAAAATATAACAACTAAGTTAGGTAGAGATACAACAGTGCTAAGAGAAAAATTTATAAAATAAATACTCATTAGAAAAGAAGATTTCAAATCAATGGCAATGCATTCATCTTAGAAAGTGAGAAATCTGCAAATTAAACACAAAAGTGTAAGTAAAGAATAAATATAGTTTAAATCAATGAACTAGAAAACACACAACCAGAGAAAAAATTCAAGGAAACCAAAAGGTAATAAATAAAGATTAATAAAACTAATAAGCCTCAAGATAGAGTAACAGAGGAAACAAAGAGAAAATAGAAATTACCAAAATCAGGAATGAAAGAGAGGATGTCACTATGGATTCTGCAAACTTTAAAAGAAGAAAGGAAATATTATGAAATAATATTTTATGAAAATGTTTGACAATTTCTATGGAATAAATTCCCAGAAAACCCCAAATTACTAAAACTAACTCAAGAATAAACAGAAAACATTTAACATAGCTATTAAGGGAATTAACTTTGTGGTCAAACCCATTCCTCAAAGAAACTCCAGGACCAAACAGTTTCACTGGTGCATTTTAACACTTACAGATGCAAAAAAAAGGCATTTACCCAATTCAACACTCATTCAAGATACAAACTCTCATAAAACTGGAAATAGAATGTAATTTCCTTAATTTGAAAGGGCATACATGAAAGTCCCAAAGCAGACACCATGCTTAAATGTAAAAACCTGAACGCTTTTCACCTAAGTTAAGGAACAAGGCAATCATGTCCACTCTCACTGCTTCCATTCGACACTATTTTTAAGTCCTAGCTACTGAAATAAGGCAACAAAAATTAACAAATAAAACAGACATAGAGATTGAAAAGAAAAAACAAAGGTATTTTTCACACATGACATACCATTTACCTAGAAATCCTAAGAAATCCACTAAAAAAGCTACCAACACTAGTATCAGTAAATTGAACAAAGTGACAAGATATACAAGGTAAATACACCGAAAGCAGTTTTTTTCAGATCTTATCGTTTCAAAATCAGTTCTACAATTATATACTAGCTGTAAAGACATTTATCTTAAAATTGAATTTACAATAGCACTTCCAGAAAACAAAATAGAAAAAATACATAACAAACGACATGTAAGACCTCTACACTAAAAATTTCAAAACATTATAAGAAAAACCAAAGAAGACATAAATGGCTGGAGAGATGTACCCTGTGCACAATGGATTGAAAGAATATTTTAAGATATCAATCTCCCGAAACTCCTTCCAATAGCATCAACAAATGATGCTAGAAAAACTGAAATCCATGTGGGAAAAAAAATAAACTGACACTACATAACATAAATAAAAAATATTTATGGATTATAAATAAAAAATATTTATGGATTACAAATAAGCAGAAAACTAAAGCTATAAAACTTCTAGGGAAAAAAAATAGGAGGCCAAGGATGGTGGCTTGCACCTGTAATCCCAGTACTTTGGGAGGCTGAGGCAGGAGATCACTAGAGCCCAGGAGTTTGAGACTAGCCTAAGCAACATAGTAAGACTCCATGTCTACAAAAAAAAAAAAAAACTTTTAGCAAATTAGCTGGGTGGAGGTGCACATCTATAATCTTAGCTGATTGGGAGACTAAGGCAGCAGTATTGCTTGAGCCCAGGAGTTCGAGGCTGCAGTGAGCTAGCATGGTGCCACTGCACTCCAGTCTGTGCAACACAGTGAGACCATACCTATCTCTTTAAAAAGAATTAATAAAAACACTAAACATAGGAGAAATCGCAATCTTGAGGTGTGCAAAAATTAGTATACCAGAAGCACTAAGAAAAAATGATGAAAACTAAAAAGAAAATATTTAATAAATTGGATTTTACAAAGGAAGACATAGGATGTCCTATAGAGACTTAAAATGATGCTCTACATCCTTGTCCTTCGGGGAAGCACCACATGAGGTATTACACAGCAGAACAGCTAAAAACTACTAAGACTGACAATACCAAGCACTAGCAAGGATGAGGAGCGACTGGAACTCATACACTTTGTATGAGTGGAAAATGCCCAACCACTTTGGAAAACAATGGCATTTTTCCTCCCAGAAACAAGAAACATGTATATCCACAAGTGTATACAAGTGTTCCCCGTAGCACTAGGCCTAACACCCCCTAACTAAAAATAACTCAAATGACTTTAACAGATAAAAGCAAATTGTGGTATATTCACACACTGGATACAGCAATAAAAAGAAAGTATCTCCTGATACATTCAATAGCAGGAATAAGTCACAAAAACACTATGTGGGGTCCAAGAAGCCAGGTACAACAAAGATTATGTTACATGAACCAACTGACATACAAATCTAGAACAGGAAAACCTACAGTGTGCAAAGGAGATATTCGGTTGTTCAAAGCAAAGTGGAGGAGGAGAGAGGGAGACAGGGGCTGACTAGAAGAGGCCATGAAGAACGTTATGGGATAGCGGAAATACTCTGTATCTCAACTGACATGGTTAAACAGCCATATTTATCAAACAGTACACTGAAAAAAGGAGCACTGTACTTACATAAATTGAACCTCAGTCAAGTTGACTTTAAAAGTTAAAAGAAAAAATTAAAGTGACCTTGACAAAGCCAAGATATGCTTTGCAGCCTCACATGTATCCCCAGTGCTGCTCAGCACATTTTTTTTGCTTCTTTTATTACCTAAGCAAAGCTGTTTCAAATCTATACTATTTCCTCAATCCCTCTGTCCTACTTTTACTCTCATATTATCTCGTCAGTCATTTTACCTTCTACTTCATAAAGGAAGGAGGACAAGCAGAAACTCCATACCACACCTCCTCATTTATTTATATTGGTACATTTTTACCACTTCCCTCCTCATTCAGAAGAGAGGCTGCTCCTACTCCTGTACCCTCTCTTCTGAGCTAGGAGGGAAGTGGTAAAAACGTGTAGCTCCAAAGCTACCCTTTCCCCCAGGACCTTGCTACACCAAATTTATTATTCTCCTCAATACTATTTCTCTCTCCTTCCCTAAAAGTAATTTCTCAAAAAGACCCTCCCAGGAAGAAAGAGCAAGATGGCCAGTAGAAGCCTCAATCCATCATCCTCCCCTACTCCCTGCAAGAATACCAACTTAACAACTATCTACATACTCAAAAAGCACCTTCATAAGAGCCAAAAATCAGGTGAGCACTCACACGACCTAGTTTTAACTTCATATCACTGAAAGAGACACTGAGGAGGGGAGCAGACAGTCTTAAATGGCTGACACCATCCCTGCCCCATCCCCCAGCAGCAGCCACGCAGCACAGAGAATCTGTACACTTTGGAGAGGGAGAGCACAGCGACTACAAGACACCGCATTGAGCTCAGTAGTGACCTGTCACAGCAGAAAGCAAAACCGAGCTAAACTCAGCCGACGGCCACCTATGGAGGGAGTATTTAAACCAGCCCTAGCCAGAGAGGACTCGTCTATCCCAGCAGTCAGAACTTAAGCTCCAGCAAGCCTTGCCGCCTCAGACTAAAGGGCTCTGGAGCTCTCAATAAACTTGACAGGCAGTCTAAGCCACAAAAACTTGCAATTCCTCAGTGACTCCTAGTGCTGAACTGGCCTCAGAGACAATGGATGGGTGGTGGTGGGGCCACTGAGTTGGCTAAAGGAGTGCTTGCACCACCCCTCCCCCAACCCCAGGCTGCACAATGTGCAGCTCCAAAAGAGACCCCATCCTCCTACTTGAGAGGAGAGAGAAGAGCAAATGGAGAGAGAACAGCAAATAGAGGACTTCCTCTTGCGTCTTGGATACCAACTCAGCCATAGCTGGTATCCAATAAAAAGCCCTTGGGCCCTGAATAACCACCAGCAGTGCCCAGGCACTACACTGTGAGCCTTCACTGTGAATCTGAGACTTGCTGGATTCAGGTGAGACTCAGCAAACTCCCAGCTCTGGTGGCTATTGGGAGGGCCTCCTTCTGACTGAAAAAACTAAATGGGACTTTGTCTTACATCTTAGGTACCAGCTCAGCCACAGGGTGGCAGAACACCAAGAGGGATCTTGGGGTCCCCAACTGCAGGCCTTGGAACTTGGATGGCATTTCTGGATCTGCCCTGGACCAGAGCGGGGCTCACTGCCCTGAAGAGTGAGTTTCAGGCCAAGTAGCATTCACCATAAGCTGACTGAAGAGCTCTTGGGCCTTAAGGGAACATTGGTGGTAGCCTGGCAGTACTCCCTGTGGGTCTATGGTGATGGCTACAGGGTGAGGCCCTTCTGCCTGTGGGAAGGGGAGGGAAGAGTGGGAAAGACTGCCATTCATAGGTTGAGTGCCAGTTCAGCCACAGTTCAACAGAACACCAGGTAGACTTCTAGGGTTTTTGATGATAGTACCTGGGTCCCTGATGGCACCTCTGGACCCACCTCGAGCCTGGGGGAACTTGCCACCCTGAAGGGAAAGACACAGGCCTAGCTGGCTTCACCACCTGCTGACTGCAGAGCCCCAGGGCCTTGAGTGAACACAGGCTGTAGCCAGGTAGTCATTATAGCAGGCCTTAGGCAAGAGCCAATGCTGTGCTTGGCAATAATTCCCAAATCATATCCCTATCCTCTTAACCCTTCTCTGAAACTCAAGATCAACATTTCCAGTATTTCCTGGACATCTCCAGTAGATGTCTCCCAGATATTTTCATATCCTAACTAGTAACACCTTTTTTAAGTTCTCTTGTATTTTAAGTTCCCATAAGTCATGCATTCAAACTTTGATTAATTTTCGTACATACTTACTGATGAGCTTTCAGATGACTCATTGTTTTTTTCATATTTCTGTTTCTTGCTCTTTTTCTTCTTCTCTTTCTTTGCTTTTTTTGAATGCTTGTCTTTTTTCTTCTTTTTCTTCACAGAGTGTTCCTGCAATCATTTTGAACAGGCAAGAAAAGAATTTATCTTCATCTTAATTTAAAAGGATGTATTTTGAGAGAAAAAACAAAATCCACATTCTAAAAAACTTTCAATCTTTGATGAAATAAGACAAAGAATATGTCTAAATAAATAAAATCTTTCAGGAAACCTTAAAACACCTGCTACAATATATGCAATATTAATAAATTATATAACTGAGACTTCTTTTAACTGAGAACTTTTTTTTTGAGACGGAGTTTCGCTTTTGTTACCCAGGCTGGAGTGCAATGGCACGATCTCGGCTCACCACAACCTCCGCCTCCTGGGTTCAGGCAATTCTCCTCCTGCCTCAGCCTCATGAGTAGCTGGGATTACAGGCACGCGCCACCATGCCCAGCTAATTTTTTGTATTATTAGTAGAGACGGGGTTTCACCATGTTGACCAGGATGGTCTTGATCTCTTGACCTCGTGATCCACCTGCCTCATCCTACCAAAGTGCTGGGATTACAGGCTTGAGCTACTGCGCCCGGCCATAACTGAGACTTCTTACCAGAAAAATACTGGGAAAATTTTGGCTATATTTGGATATTAATGTGACAAATATAATCAATAAACACATATATACACAAACATGTATACATATGCATACATATACACACATAAACACAAAGACATATAATATCCTTCTATGGTCCCCCCAGAAATTTATACAAGATTATTAGGCCATAAAAAATATAAGAAGATAGCACATACTAAAATTACAGGAAAAGCCTAGGGGAAGGACCAGGGATAGGGAAAGGGAAGATGTTGATGAAAAGGTACAAAGTTTGCATGACACTAGAAATAAGTTTTAGTGATATATTACTGATGACCGTAGTTAACAATAATGTATTGTCTATTTCGAAACCATTGAAGAATAAACTTTTAATGTTCTCATGACAAAAAAATAAGTTGGTGAGTTGACGGATATGTTCATTAGCTTGACTGAATCTTTCTGTAATGTATACATTGATCAAACCATCAAACTATACCCCATAAATTTACACAATTATTCATCAATTAAAAATAATTTTTTAAAAAATTATAAGAAAATAGGCTTGAGCCCTAAACGAAATAAAATAAAATAAAGACATAAATAAAATGCATACATTTTTAGGTCTATCAACTCACTACAGTGGGCCAGAAATTCAAAGCTAACTCTTCTACCAGCCAATTCAAATAACAAAATCTTTCCATGTCATAATGTCCAAAACATTACAGTATCTTACTTCTGCCAAGGAGATAAAACTATTCAACAATGCCAATTATGTGATATTCTGTAACTTATGAAAACATTCTATAAAATTATTCCTCCAATATCAGCTTGAATAAGAACCCCCCAAAAAAAATCCTTACATCAAGTAAACCTGTTAGTACTCACCTGTGAGAACTGTTCAATTCGCTCATTCACGTCAGGCAGCATCCATGTGTCCTCACCCCGAAGTCGCTTAAGTTCTTTACGCCTTTCTTCTTTTTCAAAATTGGCTTTAGCCTACAATCAAAAAAAAAAAGAGAGAGAGAGAGAGAGAAACTGGCAATTGATCCAACTGTTTTTCACAAAAAAAGAAAAACAAAAACCTATGTCATTTTTATACAAAAATATCCACTCATGAATGAATGTCTACTCCTTGCCAGGAATTTGCTTCTCCAGTGTGGAAAACATTAAAAAAAAAAAAAAAAAATCCTCTCCTGTATTTACAATCTCCAGTGATTTGATTCAGCAATCAGAAAAAATCCAGGGACAGAGTCTAGGCCCTCCTGTTTCTCTAAGCTCCCTACCTCAATATCACTTGGAATCCCTTTTCGCTTCACCATTCCCATGGCTACTGCCTTAGACTTTTGCAACGTCAGGCAGACCTCCATGGCTTCAATATGCAATGCCTGTACCCCAACACCCAGCCCCCAAATGCTTCAGGAGGAATCATCTTTGAAGAAAGAAAAGATCATATTGGTAATTTGTATTCACTCTTCAGCAATGGTCAAATAAAGCAAGTTTTTTTCTAGGAAATCGTTCCTGCCCTCTCTTTCTTTCCCTATACTCCAAAGCTGAGTTTGGTCCTTTTCAAATTCTGTGCCTATCTCTACTGTAAGATTTATCTCAGCTTACAAACCTTATTCCAAAAACTGCTTAAAATACCAAAGAGAAAGGATAAATCATATTATATATATAAACATTACTTTATATATATATATATGTATATATATATATTACAAATGTTGAAATTAGGAAACAATGTCAACATTTTACCTATCCAAGACTAATCGCCGGGCGCGGTGGCTCACGCCTGTAATCCCAGCACTTTGGGAGGCCGAGGCAGGTGGATCACCAGGTCAAGAGATCGAGACCATCCTGGTCAACATGGTAAAACCCCGTCTCTACTAAAAATACAAAAAATTAGCTGGGCACGGTGGTGCGTGCCTGTAGTCCCAGCTACTCAGGAGGCTGAGGCAGGAGAATTGCCTGAACCCAGGAGGCGGAGGTTGCGGTGAGCGGAGATCGCGCCATTGCACTCCAGCCTGGGTAACAAGAGCGAAACTCCGTCTCAAAAAAATAAAACAAAATAAAATCTGGCTGTAGTCATTTTCTCCTGTGAGTTTCCTCTCTTCTCCGTTGGCTCCTTTCCATCTGCATTTAAACTGGTTTAAAACTCTTCCAACTTAAAAACTATCATTGAACTCTCCGTTGCTCTCCAACTACAACTTTTCCCTTTCATCGCCACATTTCTTACGTCTTGAATAGATTGTCAGATCATTCAGGAGCTTACTTTCTCCATTCTTTTTATGTTACCTCTATGTATCTGAAGTTTAGTGAGAAACAGAATGTTTCTCGATCTTTTGTGAGAGGCTAAATATACTGGGATTCGTGTTAACTTTTGTTTGGATCAGTATTTTGTTTAGATCGGTAAGAGCTTACAGTAAGTCTGGAATTGACACCAATACACTCAGAAGAAGGAAATGTCAAACTGAGTTTATTCAAATGTGACTTACATGTGTTCCAGAAACAGGAAAATTTCATTTCAGACACAGCAGTAGCAATGACTGAGGCTGGGAGACGTGATGACAGAGTCACTGAAAGCCGCTGGGGACCTACAAAGTGTGCAGTGCGAGTGATAGAAATGTAAAGAATGGGTAACTTAAAAGGTAAAGAAACTTGGAGAAAAAGAGACAGATCTCCGTGAAAAGAGAATGAGCAACTGGGACCTGCGAGAACATCTAAAACCGGGAGATTCAAAAGGCTTTACCGGCATTGCAAAGGAAGACCTCACCCAAATTTAGGTGAGATTCAGTACTGACGAGGTGAGGGGAAGGGGTGGGTGGGCTAGCTTCCGGGAACCCTCAACTCCTACAACGCTAAATAACTACAAAGGCCCCAAAACAGCAGTACCTGGCGCAACACCTCGGCTCTGGCATTCCGGGTCTGTTCTTTCCGTTCTTCGATACGCTTCGCACTTTCAAATCTACCACTAGCAGCCGCCATACTTGTTGCCATCGTAAAGCTAGGAAGCCGTACGGAAAGTCTAGTTTACGACGGTCGTGATTTAATAAACAACCCAGGACTTCCGGACCCGGAGAAGGAGGAGCGCCGCTTCACCAGCAGAGCATGCGCACTTCTGAGGTCGCTTAGGGGTGGGATTACTGCCGCCCAGGTTGGAAAGACCTGAAAAGTGGTGGAGGGATTAGTGCTTTCGGGTGTTTGGGTTCGATTGTGAGCAGGATTAATATCCGTGTCTGTTTATTATACATTTTGCAGTATATTAACAACTTTCTCACCAATTTCGTCTTAAAATCATCGGAGTAAGTTAGGAGCTCCTGGAAGTTAACTTGGTACCTCTCAAAGTTTTCTGCCGAAGTACCCTTTCTCGCCAGAGCATCATCTTCCTGTGCTGGAGGAATGGGATGAAGGGAGGCTGCCAGAAAAGTAGTGGAAGCTGGCAACGAAGGGCAGAATTGCTTCGAAGATTCAGTGTTTTGTTTTGGTGGTTTTTATTTAGCATATGAAACACTCGTGAATTTTGCATTGCACTTAATAATTTATCCGTGTTTACTTCAGTTGTTAGAAATTTACATTATTTTCTTCTCTGACCTCATTATTCACCCATCCATCCAAGCATTTTTCATTACAGTGGGCAGTAACCTATTTATTTGTGCGGAGATTTCTTTCTTTTGTTTTACAGATGTTTCACCCAAACATAAAACTTTTATGTTCATGAAGAATAAGACATTCTAAAGAAATTCTAAAAATGCTTTTGAGAATTTAAGACACTAAGCTTACATTTATAATTATAAAGAAGAAGGCCAGGGAATTAATTATAAACTAGATACCTTAAAGACACTAGAAATACGTTACAATCGAAAGTTGAGATAAATACTCTTTCTCTTCAGGTTTCATAAAATCTAATGCGTGTTTGCAGGAAGCTTTCCAAGGGTTTCTGCATTCACTACCATTCTATGACAGTCTAAATCCTGAGCACACAATGGTTACTGTTTGATATGCAATAGAAAGTATTCATTTTTATTTAAAAAATGTAATTTGCTAATTGACCTTACAAGGTAGTATTTAATCAACTGACTACATTAACTAATTTTTGTCATGACTAGCATTTATGTCTTTTCAGATTCTCTTGGAATCAGAAAAACATCCACTTCGCTATTGTGCATCAATTCAATAAAAATAAAAAGTTATTATATTAGAAACATGTGTGTTTCAATCAGTTCTGGCTGCTCTAACAAAAATATCATAGACTGGAGAGCTTATAATAAAAAGAAGTATTTCTCACAGTTCTAGAGGCTGGACAATCCAAGAACAAGGTGTTGGCTAATACCTCACAAGGTGAGGGTGTGTCCTGGTTCCTAAAGGGCAATATTTTGGCTGTGTCTCAAATGGCAGAAAAGGAGAGAGCTCTCCCTAGGACTTCTTTTATAGGAATTCACGACGATGCTGCCCCCATGACCTAATCACTTCCCAGAGTCCCTACCTCCATATACCCGCACATTGGGGATTAGGTTTCAACAAGAGAATTTTTGGGAAACAAGCATTCAGTCTAGAGCAATGTGCAAAGTGATATGAAGAAAACTTTAAGATCTCACATAAGCTCCCCAAAAGGACTGCAACAAATGGAGGGGTATACCATTTGCTCAAAGAAAACAACATTACAAAAAATCATTGCTCTATAAATTAGTTTGTAAATACCATGCAATACAAATAAAATTACATACAAAAAAATATGTTGGGATTAGAGAGGAGAACTAGATATATTAAAATGGAAAGAAAGAAAAAGCAGGGTTTTTTTGGCTCGGTTTGCTATTTGGCCACACGTAATACAAATCTAGTTCCATGGCTTAATGAAATAAAGAGTAATATTATAAGGAGCCTAGAGTAGCTGGTCCAGGTTTGATGCAGTTGCTGAAGGAGCCAAATTGTTTCTCCTTTTTTGCTTTGTTGCAGTCTGTGAGTATACTCTTTGTAGTCACAAGGAGGGTATCACATTCTTTCACATCTGTTCATGGCATCTGATAAACACAAGAATAAACGGAAAGGACAAAGGGTAAAGGTGAATGCTTGCTAAGCTGGCCTCAGTTTTTATTAGAAAAATGATGGCTTGGCTGGGCGCGGTGTCTCATGCCTATAATCCCAGCACTTTGGGAGGCCAAGGTGGGTGGATCAAGAGGTCAAGAGATCAAGACCATCCTGGTCAACATGGTGAAACCCCGTCTCTCCTAAAAATACAAAAATTAGCTGGACATGGTGGTACATGCCTATAGTCCCAGCTACTCAGGAGGCTGAGGCAGGAGAATTGCCTGAACCCAGGAGGCGGAAGTTGCAGTGAGCTGAGATCACACCATTGCATTCCAGCCTGGGTAACAAGAGCAAAACTCCGTCTCAAAAAAAAAAAAGAAAAAGAAAAAGAAAAATGATGGCTTTATCTGAAGCCTACTTCAGTTTTTTTTTTATTTAAATCTTATGATTCAGGAATAGTTCACATACAACCACAAAAGTTTCATGAAGATTGCAGGACAGTTGCGTTATAGAATGTCACTCGACTTGGGTTCGTCAGAGGTTTTGTGATTAGATTCAGGTTAGCCATCTTAAGCGGGACTATCGCAGAAGTCAGGCTGTCTTACTGCATCCTGATTTCCATTTATCCCATTACTGGTGATGTTAACTCTGATCATTTAAATAAAGTGGCACCTGCCGAGCTTCTCTGCTGTAAAGTACCTCTTTTCCTTCTATAATCATTAAGTATTCTGTGAAGTGGTTCTTTGAAACTATGTAAATTTTGTACCAAATTTTCAAGTTATTTATTTTTATATAATGTGGTCTCATAATTTCTCAGTGGATTCCTGTTTTTATTTAGTGAGATAAAAAATAGTTATCAGGATTTATTTTGATCCTCGAATTGGTGCAGGTTAGGCCAGTGAGAGCCCTTGCAAGTTGGTTTCTGTGTCCTTTAGACAGGCACCCACATTCCTTTACCATTTTCTTACTTTCTGGTAGAAGATGATCCAGGCTCATCTTGTACTTTCTCTGTATAAGTCCTGGGATCAGCTCTTTTTTTCCAAGAATCCTAGGCTTATTTTAGTTTAAAATGGTATTCAGAAGTTGTCAAAACAAAGTAAATCCAGACTTAGGTAAAGAAAGACTTAAAGACTGTTGAAATAGGGGGTGGAGAGTGTTCAAACAGGGAGAACATTCTGAAACTAAGATCTATAAAAGTCTCAAGGTTGGGAAGAAAGGGCTTTTCTTTTTCTTCTCTTTCTTTTTTTTATTTTAAAAGGCAGAGTCTCACTCTGTCTCCCAGGCTGGAGTGCAGTGGCATGATCATAGATCACTGCAGCCTCAAACTCCTGGGTTCAGATGGCCCTCCAACCTCAAACTCCCAAGTAGCTAAGACTACAGGCATGCTCCACCAGGCCTGGCTAATTTTTTTTTAATTTTGGTAGATATAGGGTCTTGCTGGGTTGCTCAGGCTGGTCTCAAACTCCTGGGCTCAAGCAAACTTCCTGCCTCGGCCTCCCAAAATGCTGAGATGACACAGGCATAAGACACTATACCCTGCCGGGGCTTTTATAGGGAGGAACAAACAAGGCTGGAAATACCCAGGTTTAAGGGAGTAGGTTGAGCAGGCAGTGTGACAGTTTCCCGTAGCACAGTGACAACCACCGTTTCCTGTAACCCAGAGGGTAGAGAGATTTCTTGATGGTCGTGGTTTTCCTGGAGCATAGGATTTGGGTAAAGGTCAAAATTGGCATGACCAAGAGCTGGGTCCTATGTATGCTCATTAATTTTGGAGTGTTGCTGCTCCCAAGTTTTTTCAATGGGCAGAGCTAGAGAGACAGATATGCAGATATAGATTAAAATATAGATAACATGGCTACGCACAGTGGCTCACGCCTGTAATCCCAGCACTTTGGGAGGCCGAGGTTGGCGGATCACAGGGTCGGGAAATCAAGACCATCCTGGCCAACATAGTGAAACCCTGTTTCTACTAAAAATACAACAATTAGCTGGGTGTGGTGGTGCACACCTGTTGTCCCAGCTGCTCGGGAGGCTGAGACAGGAGAACTGCCTGAACCCAGGAGGCGGAGGTTGCAGTGAGCCGAGATCGCGCCATTGCACTCCAGCCTGGTGACAGAGCAAGACTCCATCTCAAAGTAGATAGATACATACATACATACATATATACATGTAACTATTTCTGAATAGTTGAAAAACAAATATATTGAAATCATAAGATCATATACATACCTCCAATTCTAACTCAACACCGCAAGATTCATTCCAATTCTTTTCGTTTCCGTATTTGTAAATTCATACTCCTAACAGGGACAAACCTAATTCCCATATATATTCTTTAATATACTACCTTATTTGATCAATGATTCAGCATGTAACCAACTTCCTGTTGCCATCATCACCCCCTCTGATGGTGCCTTCCTCACTTCACGGAGGACTTGACATGCTGTCCTAGGTTACCCCACTCAGGCTCCAACACCCTAAACAGGACAGTTTTCCCACACAGATGGCACTTCTTACCCTGCTTAGGCTCTGATACCCATGTTCCAGGTGTCCCTCACGAGGGTCCCAACCACGTGGGCACCCTTTTACCCTGTTTGTGTTCAGAGCCACTCCTCCGCACTCACCCACATGGATAATGCGTAGCTTGCTTAGACCACCAAGTTCAGAAATGGAATGAAAAGGGAAGGAACTGTCAGAGGAAGACCAAGACTTAAGCCTCTGTTAATCATAACAATTTTCACTGAACCTCCACAACCCCACATTATTTATATGTCATTTATTTATTGATGAAACTGGGTCGCTTTTTTTTAGCTATCTCACATTCTGGATTAGTTCATTGCATCTTCTTTTTTTCACTTTAACGCTTTTATCCCCTATTTCCATGTCACCTAGCTGGCCCCAGCTTACAAGTCTTGCTACTCAGGAGAAACTGCAGCTGTAGCAGCTCCCCTCCTGCCCCAGACCTGCAACAGGGGAGAACACAACTTCAGCACCTACTGCTGAGGTGCTTTCCACAGTTTGACTGTGAAGGCCATTAATCCAGTCCAGAGCAGGCACTCCAGTCTCTGGCTCCAGACTAAAATGCCTATGTGACTATGCTGCC